GAAAGTTGATCGCATCAACTAACTCATTTACAACACTATTTGTTCCGAATTCCTCATCGGTTCCACATTGCAAGCCTGTGATTTTTTGCGGGTTTATGAAGGCACATTTATTATCGTGTTGAAACATTGAATGTAGCGTCCTATATATATATATATATATATATATATATATATATATATATATATATATATATATATATATATATATATATATATTATAAAGGTAAACTACTATGAAATATTAGTTATTTAAATGTTAACATACTCACATCTGAAAGCAAAAAATTGAATCAATATCGAATAATTGAATCAATATCGAGTTGCTTATTCGTCATAAGCTTTTTAATCACGCCCGAATAGATTAGAACCTGGCTCACTTCTAACATGAATTGGATATTTTAGTCCTCCCAACTCCAAAGATCCCTGGCTCACTTCTAACATGAATTGGATATTTTTTGCGGCTCATAAAATTTTTATACAATAACTTGATCTCCGGCCTGCCATTTAGTTCTTTTGGCATTACAAATTGTTGTATTTTCTTTGCAAGGGGCAAAATGTTGGTTTCCTCGTACTTTCTTTTTTCGTGTATCTACATTAAAAAACCATTTGATCAGCTAAAAGTTTTAAGGGCTAACAATAAGTTTAAGCTACTACTTCATCACCAGGATTATAAGTATTAACCTGTGTTGATGATGGTATCGGTGTTGGTATCGTTGTCGATGTATGGATAAACAAAAACTATATATATTATTGAACAAAATTTTAAGAAAAAATCACAAATAACTTATTACAACATAGAACTTAGAAGTCCGCATAGATGAATTGGATTGAGGTTTTGTACAATTGGGTATTTAGTTGTTTACAGATAGTATGAAGAAGAGTGAAGATGGTAGCGTGGTCACGTAGTAAAATCAGAACAAACAATTCAAAAGAGTCGACTAAAAGAAACAATTTACCTAGTGGTCGACGACTGTGAAGGTGGTGGCAGAGGTTTGACGGATGGTCACCGGTTATGGAGATTTTATTGCCAATTGACAGATGAGTTTAACTGATGGTCACCGGCAGTGAAGGGATAGTTGATAGTGGTCGCCGGTGATGAAGAATTGTTAGTGGTCGTCGTCTGTGTAGACGATGTTGCAACGTGTTTGGAGACGGGTAAACCGACGGTAATTTTTGGAAGAGAATACGTACCAGTCGAATTTAGGGTACAGGAGGGTAGTTTTGGATGGCGGGGATTTTAAATATTTTGGGTAAATTACTTTCCAAGTTTCAATAACCGATCGGCCCAATTGAATCTTTTCAATAGTATCTATACACAAATATCACACTTTTAAATTAAGATGTCGTCCATTAAATTATCTTATGTAAACTATAAAATTACCTTTAGATTTCCAAATTTACCTTTAAATAGTATCTATACACAAATATCACACTTAGATTTCCAAATTTACCTTTCCATGTAAACTATAAAATTAACTTAATATAACAATTAATCTAGTTTTAATCAAAACTACGATCAAATTAACAAACAAAAATATAATATCAATTACTAACTAAAAGAAAACTAATTTGAGTGATAAATGATTATATAAAGATTATTAAAGGAAAATAAAAAAAACATACCTCAAATAACCAAGTAGGTCGTCGATTTGATTCTCAATTAAGCAAATAGGTTGTCGATTTGATTTAAAATAAATTAATGTTACGGCTTCAAATTTACATATAATAGGGTTGAAGTGTTTATATATATAATAGGGTTGAAGTGTTTGTATAGTAATGGTTTATGAGTAAAAATAGGGATTAAATAAGATTTTTAGATAAACAGATGTTGATTAAATAAGATGTTTTAGATAAATAGGAATTAAATACGATTTATTAGGTATAAAAGGGCATTTGATTTAATCTAAACCAAATAAAATACACCAAATAGAATACGGCCTATTTTGTTAGTGTATTCTATATCTTAAATAGAATACACTAAATAGAATACATCTACTACTATTCCCGTATCCTATTTCTTTGTAATTTATATTTGATATAGGATACACTTAATAGAATACGGTTATTTGATATCATGTATCCTATTTCCCATTAGAATACGAAACTAGTTATATCCGTATTATATATGGTGTCTCCTATTTGTTATTTTCTAGTAGTAAAGTATTTTAAATGCACCAAAAAACTGTCATGATGTGTAATCATTCGTGCCAAAATGGTCTTCATATAAGATCATATAACATACTTTTGAATGCACTCACGAACTAAATCTGGCACCTTGCTTAAATAAGGCTCTATCAGAATTAGAGATAAGATATTAAAAAGGTAAAATCTTTAAACCAAATTTCATGAGGCATAAGCCTCTTTAGACCAAAACTTTCCTAACGGATGTATACATTCTAGTATCATATTACTTGAAAAAATTTAACGACTTCAAACTATTTTTCTTCAATAAACAAGTGACGCGATCTCATGATCCCACCACTACAAGTCGGAATTTCTAAAATTTAACAACATTAAGGACAATGTCATGAAGCTCCAAAGGAGTTCAATCCATAATGAAATCTCATGGATTGTGAATGATCCCAAACATCTTTCCTCTTGCAAAAATCCAACGCATCATCATAGTCATTTGAGCCAAAATATTTGTCATCTTCACTTGCAAAAGAAAAATCATGGTGTCATCAATCTAATAATGAAAGATCATACTTATAGTATCCATGTGAAAAATTAATTATATAACTTATATAAGGTTTAGAACAAAATCAATATATGGAACATATTAATTTGTTGGGTAAAAATATCCATTAGGACTTCGACAAGTCCAAAGGAAAAAATTGAGTAAGGTTAAAGGCTAGTATAGGATGAGACAATGATAATTCATTATAAAGACTCCAAGGGTTAATGGATTTTGAATCTTAAAACCTTGAGCTCTTGTACCATTTTTATAAATATGATGAAAAACAAAAAATATAGAGTATCAAGAAGAAAAAAATATAGTATGATTGAGTATTGGTCAATTTTTGGGTACAACCAAACCCAAATCGTAAAGTTTAGTTTTTGGTTTTACAAAACCATTGAGTTCAGCTTTTTGGGTGGCTTTTCAGTTTTTTCGGTTTCTACCTACATGTGGACGGGTTTCTGTTTTTTTGTTTAAACGTGTAGGTTTTGGGCTTTTAAGTTTCAACGTACTTAATCTTGTAATAAGAACAATCAACATAATAATACTACTCAAGTACTAAAAATCTCAAATGTTGATGCTAAAAAAAATTGAACCTAGAGCTTAACGTGTAGGTTTTGGGCTTTTAAGTTTCAACCTACTAAATATGGTAAATCAAATATGATGTCATGGGAAAAACCTATTTTTTTACCTTGTATGATATGAATGATATGGAAGATGGTTTCTTGTTAGCTAGGATTAGCTTCTATAACTGGATAGATTAAAGTTTAAACTCGTTGGAGCCTTGGAGGTATGCGTGTGAGTTTAATTGATTGATGTGTAATTTTTTTTGTTGTAGGTTTTATTTTTGTGGCCAACAACAATTGTTCTCTACATTCTATGTTGATTGTTGTTCAATGAATTCTAATAATGTTAAACGAAGTTTTTTTTTTTTTTACCCATCGTTCTAAGTTGTTTTTTTTTTTTTTGCGATTTGAATACACATTTGATTGTGAGAGGAATTGTTTGAGTACTACCTAAGTGTTAGGTTTCTTCGTTAACTATCTTTTTCATATCTATTATTATACATTGTTAAGATTTACAAGTTATATATCTTTAGAATTTGCCGGTAGGTTCTGAGACCTAAAAGTTTGGTATTGATAACTAATGAATTTGGTATAAGCTATCCAGAGTGGTTATGAACTCACGTGTGAGTTTTCTATATGGCATACATGTGACACACTAACTCACCGGTGAACACCGCCTCGTGGACTGGTGGTTTGGCTGTGGAGTGACTTGTAGTGGTTGTGAAGACGAAGCAAGATAATGATTTTGATTGGTTCTCTCTTTTTTCCCTCACATTTTCTCTTCTTCTTTCTCCTCCTTCTTGCCTCTTCACTACCAATCCACCGATGAACACCATTTCTACAATCTAGTGGGTTGATTGTGAAATTGTAAAATACCTACGTGATACTGAGTTGGCTGATGGTTTGGCTGTGACCACTCACCACAGCCTAATAAGTGAGAGAAGAAGTATAAGGAGGGTGTCAGAATTTTTTTTTTTCTTTTGGGATAAGATGGGGTTTGTTTGTGAATTAAAACTTTAGAGGTATGTTTTCTCCAATAGAACTCCTATATTTTCTCAAAATATTCCAAGATAGTAGGATTAACATGGGACAAACAGAAAAACATGTTACTACATATTCTATGTTTTTAACACTCCTATTTTAATTTAAACAAATATGAAATAATTTTAACACGTACGTCCTCAATGCTATTTTTTTCAAGCTAAAGATAGAACAATAGTCTCGCACAAATAGTGAATCGAAACCTGCTTGAACTTTAAGGGGTGTTTGGATAGGGAAAAAAATAGGTTGCTTATTGTTTATTGCTTAATCCTACCGTAATAAGCAAATTTAAGTGTTTAGATAGAAGTCTTTAAAAATCAGCTTATTGCGGTAGGAATAAGCTAAATAAGCTGATTTTAATAAGCAATGGGGGGAATGCTTATTCCTTATTGGTTATTGTTTATTGGTCATTTTAATCATATAAGATGTTTTGTTTGCCAACCACTTAAAATGTTTATTGCTTATTGCTTATTCCCACCGCAATAAGCTAATCCAAACACATTTTAAAAAAGTGTTTATTCCGACCGTAATAAGCAAATAAACACTAAGCTAATAAACTAGAATTATTTATCCAAAGACCCTCTAAATATAAAATGTACGTTATGGAATTCCTTTTTTTCCCGATTATATGTATAATATTAAAGAATATAGATGTCGTACAAGGTGGGTAAAATTTTAATGTTGAATTGCTTCTCACGGTATCAATTATAGCTTGGTCATCCAAAGAACTTGAACAAAAATGGCGTTCTGACAGAGTATTTTCCTGAAACCCAAGTCATATATCCTTGACCATATCGACTTTTCACCTTATCCATGATGTCCCTAGTAAATGTTATTTTGTATGTTAACTTCTGGTACATCGCTATGAATCTGAGCCGTTGAAAAGAAGTATCAACTACTGTACATACACGTACACCTTGAGGAACAGAAACATTTCCGATGGTGTAGATTGAGTTTGGCATACCTACATTAGTCACTGTCCTTGAGTATGTTTTAGTATCACCTCTTTTTAAAGTAACCACAAAAGAAGGATAGTTTAGCTCCGTTTCTTTTATGCTTTTTATGCAAGAAAAAGGCTTTTTAATTATCATTGATATTTGTTTGGTTGTATACCCTAACCCACACAAATACGGAATGTAATCATCTGGTTGGATATCAAACACAAGACCCGGATCGTTGGCTTTTGATGGGTTGACATGACCTGCGCCAATAGCGAACATGTCCGCAGGAAGGTCTGTTTCATGATCTACAATGGGTTTTCCATATAAGCTTACTTGACTTGCTGTCGTCATCATAGCAGACTTGATTGCAGCAGGAGACCATTCTGGGTGTCTGCTTTTCAACAGCGCTGCTACTCCTGCAAGGTGAGGACAAGCCATTGACGTGCCAGACATGATCTTAAATGTTGGTAATTTGGTCATCATTGGCATTAACAATGGCCAAGCTGCAAGAATGTCAACTCCGGGTCCGATAATGTCTGGTTTCAGGATTCCAGGGCTTGCAAGGTTGGGGCCTCTTGAAGAGAAACAAGCCACCTCTGGAGCTGATTTTACACCGACTATAGTTCCACGTTGAAGGATAGTTGCGACAGCAGATGAAGTTGAATTCAGATACTTTATGATCTCAAGTCCTTCCTTATAACCCACATTTGATGCAGGAAGAACGTGAGCCTCTGGTACTGTAATCTCCGGACAAGCAATGCCATTCCGGAGAACCATGGCAGCTCCTCCGGCATCCTTCACCACCCTACCTTTGTCAACTGTCCAAATCGTACCACCCATATCACACAACACTACCTTCCCGTTAACATCAATATTATCTAGTGATCCTCTGCTACACGTTGCTGCTTTGTAATCACCATTTCCACCAGGGTAAACAAGAGGCATGAGCTTTTGATGGAAACTCTTTGGTTGGTATAACGATTCACCATCAAGTAATTTCTTGTTTCCGAGATAAACTGTCGTCCTTATTCTTCTATCAATGGTGCTAGCCCCAACTGTAAGCACCCATGGGACTGTGTTTGACAGTGTTCCCTTAGAAGGCCCGGAATTACCTCCAGAACAGCTCAAGAAGATCCCTTTCTGAATGGCTTTAAAGGCGCTAATTGCCATAGAATCTCGATAGAAGGGTACAGAAGCTCCACCAAATGAAATCGAAAGCACATCAACCCCGTCTCCAATAGCTGCATCCATCCCTGCTATACTGTCGCTTTCAGAACAATATTCCCGATTGCATACTTTATACATAGCCAAGTGTGCCAATGGCGCCATCCCAGTGGCTGTTCCATTAAAATTTCCAAATATATTTGCATTATCTACGAAATTCCCTGCAGCAGTACTTGAAGTGTGAGTCCCATGGCCTAGTGTATCTAATGGAGAACTTGTACTGCTAACAAAGTTTCTCATTCCGATCAGTTTGTTATTACAATACTGTCTCACTCCAACTTCACATCTTCCTTTCCATCTTTCAGGTGGAGTGGGGACACCAAAATCATGGAATGATGGATGTTGAGGAGTGGTTCCGGTGTCTAGAACCCCGATTATGATTCCTTTCCCGTGGTTGGAATCTTTCCACAAACCTGAATTGTGGCTTAATCCCATAAACTGCGCTGAATGAGTTGTATGCAACCGGAAGTGTCTTTCAGGACTTACAGATGCAACTCCTCTCATATTCTGTATTGCATATGCTTGCTTTGATGACATTTGTGCAGCAAATCCTGTAACAGCATAGTGGTATGCATGAATGATCCTAATTGGTTTCCATAACTTTGAGGTGGTGTTAGAATTACCGTTTTTTGACAAAAATAAGTTATAACGTTGTTCAAGGTCGTGTGGTCGATGGTCTAGAGAAAGTTGTTGGCCTTGAGGTGAAGTTAATTGAACAATGTAGGTTTTGGTTTTGAATTGATAGGCTTTGCATGTAGGAAAGGTGGTGAAAATGGTAAGCAAAATAAAACTCATAATTGTTGGCAACATTTCTCACTACGTATATATCATTGAAGGAGTAAATGTTTGCCTTCCACCTCAAGACTCAAGAGGTGCCCGGGGCAAAATACACATTTGCGCGAGATGAAGTGGTTTACTGATCATTGTTACAACTTCCCTTTATTCAGACGAATAATATAGAGACGTTTCAGGTTTCAACTCCATCCTCCAGATTACCTATATACATATAACTTGTTTTTTAGACTTGGAAATTAACTACTTCACAAAAAAAATTGGCCTTTATAACTTGGAAAATACTTCAATTCGAAGCAAATATATATCAGTTTTGATTTTTTTCTTTTAATGCATCTCTCCCCACTTTTTATAAATTTGTAATTATTTATTTTGCAAATAGATCTTCATCCATTTCTAAGCCATTTTCTATAGTATTTGGTTATTTATAATTTATAATTATTTCACTCTACTAGTAGTAATGGTATATCATTAACTGTTGCTCAATGAATTATGATAATGTTAAACGAAAAAAATGTCACTTTTTGCCCATCTCTCTAAATCGTTTGTTGCAATTACAATTCACATGTGATTATGAGAGGATTGGTTTGAGTACTACCTAAGTCTTACGTTTCTTAGTTAACTATCTTTTTCAGATCTCTTATTATACTTGTTAAGATTTACAAACTATATATCTTTAGAATTTGATTGCAGTTTCGAGATCTAAAAGTTTGGTATTGATAATGAATATTGAATTTCACATAATAAGTGAGAAGAATGGATCTTCATCCATTTCTAAGCCATTTTATATAGTATTTAGTTTTTTAGTTTTTTATAATTATTTCACTATACGTGACATTCTTTATTTTTCATAACTAAAAAAACTTTTCTTTACACTTACAAAATCACAATATCTTTGTTCGCGAAAAATTTCAGTATAATAAAATGTTTTGCTGAAACTGTCTCGTTTTATTTAAAATATATTTAGTAAAGATGTTGTTTCAAAATACAAAATCGTAAGGATCTCATAAACAATACACAATATATGTTACAACGTAAAGACATAATGGTCATAAACAATATTGCAGGTTGTCTCTCAATCACTCAGTACCTTAATCAAGTCCAACACTTTTAGTCCTTACCTATGATGTATATAATTTAAGTGAGTCATGTTGGGAAACCTGGTGAAACACATATGGTTTTGAATCCCACAATATTATTATGATAATCATCCATAACTATTAAACCTACAAAACCAACTATTACCACACAATATAGAAATATATAATCCAACGAAGATATATATATATATATATATATATATATATATATATATATATATATATATATATATATATATATATATATAAAAGCTACTACAACCATACATACCCATCCCAATCGGATCTCACAAATCCTAGTCCATGATCATCTGGAAGACACACCTTACCCGATGAGTCATTTAGAACAATGGTTGACTACACAGCTAAGGGAGTCCTTAACCAAAGTAAGTCATAAAGGCACCCGAGCCTTCAGAGTATTTGATAAATATGGTATCACATTTCATCTACATAACAACGATCGAAGCTAATAATTCTTCTCTTACCTTCTTGTGATGCAACTCTCCTGGATCTTGACGTCGAATCCAAAGTCGAGTTACCTTTCTCACTTTTTCCTTAAGGGTTGGTTCTCCCTACTCGAGTACGAACCCTTATCTGCTGCTACTTACAACTGATCAAAGCCCAAACTGACTCTACCTATGTTATTCGTAACTCTTTTTCTTCTTGGAAGAAACTTATTGGTTGTCATATGAATGACTTTAACATCTCCAGCGCAGTATCACTTCTTGTACCTTCAACAAGTGATCTTCTCGCATAACACGACCACAATCCGATCAAGATCATGACAAGTACAAATTCGTCTACCAACGTACACGTAAATAAAATGGTATTAGAGGGTTTTACTAATGTAAATGGAAATTAACTAGTATCAATGATGGTTTCTAAACTCGGTACCATTACTCTCTCTGCAATGGGATGAGTAACCTTGTCGCGTTCCAAATGATCCTCTGGTAATGATCCTTATGATCATCTTTGAAGTATTTATGTAAAAACGCACAACGGATTTATACTAGCTACAATGATTGCAACTCCCCTGGCTTCCTGAACGAAAATCAATAGGTTTAAACCTATATGTTGTTAGTGGTACTTGAACCTGCACTTGTTCTTTCGTCCACCAATGGACCTTCAGTCCATGACACAATTTTGGGTGTTTCTCGTTTTCAGTCATTTTCAACTATTTTCAGCTCCAACTTGTTCCTTTTGCTTCAAGCCACGAATTTTCCTATGTTTATCAAATACATAGCATCTTAAGTATATTTTATTTTTAAATATAACAATTAAAATCTAAATAGTAAGATAATTACCCTAAAATATATGATTAATTTAGGCAATATCGGTCATCAATGAACACAATCACAGACCGATCGAGCATCCGTCTACACACCCGGTTCATCAGGTCCATAAATGATTTTGGTGCTTTGGTGAGCCTAAATGGCATCACCACAAACTTGTAATTTTCATAACGAGTCCTTAAAGTCGTCTTCTCTACATCCTCATCTTTGACCCTCATCTGATGATAGCCCGACCTCAAATCAATCTTGGAAAACCAAGATGCACCCTGAAACTAATAAAATAAATCATCAATCCTCGGTAGCGGGTAACAGATTTTCACCATGAGCTTGTTGAGATCCTTATAGTCTATGCACATCTTGTATGAACCGTCCATCTTCCTGAAAAACAAGATAGTTGCTCCCCAAGGCGAACTACTCGGACGAATAAACTCCTTGTCCAACAACTCTTGAAGCTAAGTGGACAACTCCTACATCTCTTAAACAATTTAGTTATGACCTTGGACATCTAATCCAAAAGTCTCTAACTTGGATAAGTCATCAACTACAATTGCTAATATAGACTTTGAATAAACATCAAAGTGTGCTTTCCACAACCACTGTCGAACTCTGGTATAATCAAACGTTGACCCTTAGATAAGGGATTAGTTATTCCTTCATTCTAAAAGATATCGTATGGACATGAGACATGGATACAAATAAAGCTCATAGTCCATGATTCTATTTCCCAATTTCTAATTTATGATGACTAAATTCAGACTACAAATTGAAGACATCAATTTAGTTCGGGCAAGGCCTTACACATGAATGTCCACATCAAATCACCGAGGGGCCCAAAGGAGTCGCTTTTCCTTTAAAGGCAAAAGGAAAGACTAAACTTTGACTACATAATTATAACTTTTACTCATCATGCCATACATGGAACTACATTAACAGTACCCAGCTACTGATGCGTTAATGTAATACCAATGCATAATAGATTTGCAAACTATAAACTTATGCATCTCTTCTTGAAGAATAGAAGATATTATCGTCCTAGAATTACTCGTGATGAATCCATGAAGTAATCTCTACGTGTAGGTTTAATCAATACTTAAAATCCTCATTTAAGCATTCACAAGTATAATAGCAATCTCCATGCCATGTCCCGTCACTATGAAAAATCTACTAAAACTCCATGATAGTCTTAAATCACAACTCACTTCCTAAAAGTATGAATGATTGTGGTGTTTCGAGTAAATTAATTACTCAGGAAGAAACACGAAAAATGAAACACAGTAATAAACTAATTATTCTGTGGTATCATACTCTTTAATATAAATTAATCCTTATTATTTAATTACCATAACAATTGCAAATTTATTGCTTGTATAAATGTTTCAGTGTAATCGACTTAACAAGTAAACTTTTCATTACTTCTCATGCTTATGCCCTTAGCATGCATATCATGTTTCCTTGGTTTATCTCTATTTTGTACGAATCATCGCAAAGATATTCACTTCACAACTAGATCTCCATCCTCAACGTTTTTCTTGGATGTAGCGGAATTCCCTCCTTCTATGTATTGACCTTCTGTGGCCTCAAGGATCATTAGTCAACTATGAAATTTTCTAGTCCAGGTACGCTCCTTAGATACTTCACTTGTACTAATGTAACCTGACTCATATTGTTGAGTCTACCACCATCTCCTACATGAAACCTTTCATGTTATCGGACTACAATTCAAAATGAATGTCCACTTAGACTTTGACTCTGAGTCATGCCTAAAAATTCATGTTACTTTAGCTCTTGCCAAATATGTTTTCTACTATCCAAAAGTAACCATGAAACAACTAGATTTCTCATCACACGGTATACACAAAATACTCATAAATGTTTTTCCAAATATTATACATCAAAACATTGGATTTAGTTGGGTATTTAAAAAGAAAAGTAAATACACATAGAACATACTAAAACTACACCCAAGATCTGTCTAGTGTTACAAAAGGTTTTACAAAAGACATAACTTTATTCAAAACATCTTCTACTTCTCCATAATTGTATTTCCCTTGCCTTGATTAACTTTTCATTCTTAACACAATCATACTCATAAAATAAGTACAAGCATAGTGAATAGTATATTTATAACATTTATTATATAATCGCATTCTCTATTTTCAAAAGTTTACATTATATGTAACATAACAACAACCTATAACTTATTAGGAGGCTTATGATGTATTTAAAACATACCATAAAACTCATATACTATTTCACTAACAATAATACTCTCCTCTTTATATTCTCTAGACATAAGAGACTTATACTCTTTATAAGTCTTATTGTAATACCTGTATCATTATCTCCATAAAACACTTTTCAACAACATAATATGATTTCATAACTCTAAATCACATAACACAATTCATAATTTGAGTTGAGGTAAATGTTAAACTACTCACCTTGATTAGGTTGATAAGAACTTGTTCCAATCCTGTGAAATCCCATCCTAATGCTTGCTTCACCGGAACCTAGCCAATAGCATAATTCTTATGTGGTATAACGCGTTCATAACCAATATCACCACAAAATAATTCCATAATACTCATCTATGTGTAACACTAGATTTAATTGTTCAATTTATTCA